GTATCTTTTTTTAACAATTATAAATGGCTAAAGACAAAAATAGTACACGTATAACTACTTTTTGTGCAACAAGCGATATGTTTTATATACCATGTAAGTATTTTTTGTACAAGCGGTGCGCGTTCTATAAATGAAGTAAACTTGAAATTTTTTTTTTCAATACATTCTGATTTATCAAATATGTTCTTCATCACTTAATTGCAATTATTGACAATAGTACACACTACATGAGTACGTTTTATGCAATAAGTTGTACATTTCATATAGGCCTGTCAACGGCCTGTCAACGGGTCAGGTCCGGGTCAGAATTCATTATTCCAGACCCGGATCCGGCATACCAAATCGGACCCGGATCCGACCCCGTTTACCTGACGGGTCTTCTACTCTATGTTCCGGATTTGACGGGGTTTCGAATCCGGGTCGGGTCTACCCGAAAAATTTATCAAATTTTACAATTTCTAATAAAAATGAAAAAAATATATATTTATACACTAATTTCTAACTAATACAAAAAAAAAAACCAAATAAGAAATGAAATCAAATTGACTTACTCAAATACATCATTATATTGATAAATATACATATTTAAATTATTAATCCATTTATATCCGGATCCGGGTCTAATACAGGTCGGAATACTATATTCCGTATCCGACCCATTTTTTTATTTGACAAAATGGATCTGAATCCGGGTCCGGGTAACGGAATTAAATCCCTACCCATACTCACAATAATTTCACGGATCCGAGCCTGGTCCGGGTCGTTGGCAGGCCTAATTTCATATAAGTACTTTTTATACAAGCCACACGTACATTAGATGAAACAAGTTCAACATTGTTGTCCAAAACGTACCAACTTATTGTACATGTAAGTTCTTCATCAATTAATCATAAGTAATCACAATTGTACATAAAATAAATACATTATATTTTACAAACAATGATATATTTCATAAACCATGTAAGTACCTTTTGTGTAATAAGTGGTAAATTTCATAAGTCATGTAAGTACTTTTTTTACAAGTAGTATGTACATTCCATTAATGAATCAAATTTGATGCTGTTGTCGAAAGCTTACTAACCTATAATACGAACATATTCTTAACCATTTTAGTGCAATTGATGACAATAGAATAATATATCAGTACTTTTTATGGATCAAGTAGCGTATTTTATACACTATGTAAGTACATTTTATACAAGAGTATGTATATTTAATAGACAAAACAAAATTGATATTGTTATCCAAAATGTACTAAGCTATGGTACGTGTAAGTTCTTCACCACTTAATTACAACTATGACAATGGTACACTTTTTTTTTATAGCAAGTGGTATATTTCATACACCATGCAAGTATATTTTGTATAATAAATGATACATTTCATACATCATGTGAATACTTTTTGTATATGTCAATTTTATTAATGAATCAAATTTTATCTTGTTATCCAAAACTTACTAACCTATAATACCAATATGTTCATCATTTTAATCGCAATTGATCACAATGGAACACCACATAAGTACTTTTTCTATAACAAGTGATATATTGTATACATTACATGAGTACTTTTATACAAGCAATACATACATTCCATAGATGAATCAAATTTGATTTTGTAGTCTAAAACAAACTAACCTATAATACAAGTATGTTATTCATAACTTAACTACATTTGATTTATAGAACGACTCTTGTATATATGGTACTTACGTAGTAATCAAAAAATTCTAATACATGTACCAAATGATAATCTATTGTACTAATCCTTTTCGATATGTCTGACATTGCTTCATTCTACACGATTGACCAATCCAAGTTTTGAACATATCATTTCTTTTCACATTATGTAAAATTAAATGCAATTAATATATTATATCAAAATCATTTTCATCCTTTTTTTTGTAAATATTATTAGTAAGATAGCTAAGTTTATATGTTGTGTGTGCTAGAAATACACTTTATTTCATATGTTGGAAAAATCTATGTGTAACAAAAACAAAATAGTTGTGTCCATGCCTATTTTGTTTGTGTCCTTTATTATATTATGAAGTAAAATAAGGGTGTGCCGACATGTCCTTGCATAGCTTCAATTTCATCATCATTAGATTAGAAAATTACAACTTAAAACAAATTTTGAAAAAAGTAGATAAAAATTTACATATGAAATGCCTTTTTTAAGGCTGATTTTGTTCTCTAATATGCTATACATATATTTAATTTTGTACCAAAATGCACAATTATAATGTGTTTAATATACTAAATGTATGCATGCAATGTATTCGAACTCTGTATATAATATAAATACCCTAGTGTTTTCTTATTTTGCAAAAAAACAATGCTAAAATGTAATATAGAAGTCAACTTATATAATATTTGAAAAATAGGAACTCAAAGATCCAAAATTCATCAAAAGGGTTTAAGTTTTGAAAATTTTTTGAATAGGGTATGAATTATTTTTCAACATTTATGATGGTTAATGAATATATCTTTAGATGACTAAATCATCCTATTTGCAATATGCATTTTATTGAATAGTAATGTGCACCTTAATGAATAAAGTTGTGCATTTCGAAGAACACAAGTATATATTAAAATTTGTATCAACTTAATTAATATGTATACATATGTAAATGCATACATACGAGTAACTAAATATAACTGCACTTTGATAAATATATGTGTATATCTGAATGTGCACAGATATCTGTTAGAATGTGCACATACAAGTATTTGGAAAAACATTCAATGGTGTATTAAAAAAAGTATAAATATAATATATTTTTATATATAAAGTTTGAGCAGGGTTTGGTGTAAAAAGAAAAGTGTCTTTATTGGTTTTGCCAAATATACCTTTCTAATATTCACTATTATCTATTAATATTTTATCTGTTAAACTTACCACCCCTACATGACTACCAGCACAATAAACACACAAATACATATACATACCCCCTTTTTTAGCCTAAAAAACTTCTAATAAGCCAATAACTGTCTACAACTTCCTATCCAAAAAAAATGAAAAAATGAAAACACAATTCTCTCATCCATAGTTCTAAAACAAAACTCCAACTGCTACTAAAAAATTTAACATATTTTTTGAAAATTTTCCTTTTAGATTTGCACACACATAGCGTGTGCCATTGCCACTAATAGTTTATAGAATGTCACAAGCAATTACGATGGTTTGATGGTAAACATGTCAATTGCACTAACATGACAAATGATATCGACTCGAACTCGATTAACCCGAGTAGAGCTCGATAGACCCTAACGAATCGAGTTCGAGTATCAAGTAGCAAGACTCAAAGACTCGTCGAATTTTATCGAGTTTTTTAATTTTAATTTTTAATATATTATTATTATGAAATTACTCTTCTGCCCACAAGAGTGGTTGAATTTACGAAATGTTTTAGGTTGTATGAATTTTTTTGAAGGGCGATAATGTTTTTTTGCTTAAAAATTGTCAAAAAAAATGAAATTTCGAAATCATCTAGACTCGAACTCTATAAGACTCGCTTTGACTCGAGCCATGCGAGTCAAGCTCAAGTTCTATGAGCAATATATCATGCTCTAGCTCGAGCTCCAGCAATGTTACTCATTCGAGCTCGAACTCAAGTATCTTTCCTACAAGTTGAGTCGAGCTCGAGTCGCCATACTCAAGTTTGATTCAACTTAATTACATCCCTAAATAGGGTCTTCCAACTATGTACCATGTTAATTACAATGACATGGAAAATGACATCGTGGACACATCAGTCAGGGCCCACCAACCATGGATGTAAGTGACACTTGTCAGTGGGTCCAACCTTATGCCCTACTATCTGATCCTAGTGATGTGGAATGGCCTTCCCTCCCCATAGTTATTAGGCAGTAAAACCACAGCTAGGATGCAGTTTATGAGTTGAGTTTTCCTGCTCCTTTATGGTAATTTGATTGTTATTAATGTAGGAAAAGAATTTAGCTAATTAATGATAATTATCATTTCATGTCTGATTGGGTCTTTATCTAGAACTTTCCTCTAGGTGCATATGAATACCGAAGAATGTTATGTGACCTACAATAAATCATTGACTGAGCTGATTTCTTGGGCAAAAATACTATGTGGATTTTTCCCTCCACTGGCATTTCTGCCTGTCTTTTTTGTTTCAATGTTGCTTCCCTCTTGAAGATGGGTCACGCTTATTATTCTGTTTTCCCTTCTATTGAATATGACTTCTCGTGTTTATTATAACAGGAATTTCTGAGTGTACGTAATTACTCCCAGTTTGTTATATGAGATGCTTGCTTCCTGAATTTAATCTGGAATCTACTTGTATAGTACATTAGTTCTTGTTACTCGATAATTTGAAGCTTAACTTTGCTGGAATTAATTGCTGCTATATTTTTCATTGGTAAACCACGATTAATTGTTTTAATACTTGTCTAAATGCTGTTCAACTACAACTTTTTTTTTTTGGAAAATAATCTCTTTTCGCTTGTAAGGGAGAGCTGGTTTTATGTTGATTTAGATGTCAAACCTATATGAAGGTCTTGACTGCTTCAATATGTTATTGCTCATACAGGAATAAGGGTAGATAGTAAAAGTAAGATGGATGAGTTTTCTGGTAAGAGACACAGAGTTGGGGTGGTTGTCCCCAGAAAAGGATCTAGACTTGTTTCCAGGGATACCATTGATAAAAGAGATCAAAATGCTGAATTTTGCAATCGTCTTGGATGCAATGGAAGACTTAAATATGGAAAGAGTAATCAAAGTGATTGTGCTGACAAATCCAAAAATATAAGGCCTTCCTGTCATTCTTCAAATGGCAAGCAGACTACTAGGAGCTCCCCAGAGACTTGTTTTCCAATTAATAATGGAAGAAAATCACGACGTGATTCTGATTCTTTTAGGAAATCTTTGTCTAACTTAGACAATGATTCTGCAGAATCTTGTGGTGTTCGTGTGAGCCAGATGTTACAGACACATCCCTTTAGTAAATAGGAATAACAGGTACTGCAGCCTGATTTACAAGATTCAAGTGCTGGTAAAGTCACACTGACAGAAGTAGGGAGTTCAAGCACAGGATCAAGTAAGAAAATCTCATATAGTATTTCGTCACAAGCCTCCGTCTGGCTGTCAAAATCCTCTTCCTGGTCCCTCTGTTACATCTGTTATTTCTACATCAAATAGCATGGCTTCAGGGTCTAGGAACTACAATGGGAGTCGGTATGGTTTAAGAAATTTAAGATGCAACTCAATATCTGATGTTATCCCACGAGGTGGTTCAGCCTCAGAATCTAAGGTTAAGAGGGATGTTTTAAGAAAAAGAAGTCCTGAAGCACAAAGTAGTACATCTTCTTCAGGAAGAAGAGGTAGCATGGCTCGTTCTGAAGATGGACATGTCTCCGCCTTCAATACAGGAATCTCTGTCACTGGCTCAAGACATGGTAGAAGCTGGGTTTCAAATAGTGATTCTCACACTGCACCTCTGAGGACTCGGAAGGCATTGAACTCAAATACTAGGATTGGGCTTTCAAATCTTGACAACAGAAATGCTTTATTAACCAGTGAATCCAGTAGCGGTATTGCACAATTATCTAGACCTGAAACTCCTAATAGTGCTAATTTACATAGTTTATCTTATCAATCTTCCATGGAAGGTTCTTCAAATGCTTCAAGCTCCTGTAGACTATCTGCGAGAACTGGTATAATGTCCTTGACGCCCACAGAACATGGTATTACTCATGCTTTGCGGCGACTAACCTGAATGGAGTTGCTGAGGTACTTCTCTGGTTCATCCGAAGAAGCACACTCCTTTGTTTCTTTTGTGCTTAACAGAGAACTCAATATCCAGTTCTGTTTTCTTGATCTTGCCTTGGCAATTTTTAGTAAATTGTATTATTTCATTCTGGCGCAGGTACTACTAGCTCTTGAGAGAATTGGACAAGATGAAGAGTATGAGGTACTCAATCTTTGGCAACTTTATGATTTGTGCAGATTGGCACTTGTATGTTGACTTTACTTCTTATCCATTTTGACTCAGCAATTACTTGCTTTGGAGAACGATTTATTTCTTGGCCACCTTAACTTCTACGACCAGCACAGAGATATGAGATTAGACATTGATAACATGTCGTACGAGGTAGGTTATCATAAGATGCAATAGATTGGAATCACTAAGTACAATATTGTTCTAACTACTTTTATTCCTTTTCTGCTAACCAGATTGTACTAACTTGAATTTATAACAATTGTCTTTTAAATCAGCATTTTTTTGTTATCACGAAAGTTTTCTTATTTGTTTCTTGGCTATAAATTGGTGCCACTGATGTACATGCCCTCTTTTCGTACTTCTTGACTGTTTCTGTACTCCTTTTTGACAGGAATTACTTGCTTTAGAGGAGAGGATGGGTACTGTGAGCACAGCATTCTCAGAAGAGGCATTTGCTAAATGCATCACGAAAAGCATATACCAGACTGCTACGGCAGATGTTGGGGCTGCTGGATGTAGTGAGGATGAAGCTGATATTAGATGCAGTATTGCCAGGTGGTGTCCTCATTACCAATATATGCTCTTGAAATAATGCTTTTTGTTTGGATGCGCTTTGAGTAGTTACTGTTAAAAAAAGTTTTTGGCCCTCAAGATAGAAGCAGCCTAACTGTAGCATAGATACCATCAGTGGTCATCCTAGATGAGAGATTTTGAGGTAAGCTTGGATTAAGTTAGCAATGTTGGCCAGTATTTCTAAAGAGCTCCAGTGGGAGTAGGTTATCTTCTTCTCTTTTTTTTTTTTTTTGAAAAATGAATTCCCTAAGAAACGGACCAGAATATAATCTGATGTATGCAGAACCCCATCCCTCCCCCAACCCCCCCCCCCCCCCTCTTGAAAAAAAAGGAAGAAAAGAAGGAAGGCCGAAGATGAATAAAGAGAACGTTTATTGTGAAGACTTAAATGTGTGTGCATGTTTGCCTGTTTCTCTCTGGCTGAACCTCAGTCGGTTTTGCTTCAAATTCAACTTAGCTGATGATGATGATGAGAGCCTTTTGTTTCAGCTGCATCAATTTGCTTGTGCAAAATTAGTATAATTAATTGAGATTGGAACTGCGGGAAACCAGTTGACTCTGATGCATGATTCTCGTTTGTTCCAACAATGATGCATTAGTAGCTTGCAACAAATTTGATAATGCTACAAGGTTCCCTGGTTTAGAATTAGCCCATTATTGAATGTTTGCAGAATTTCTGACACCTCATCCATGTTTTCCTATGGTGGATGATTTTTCTCTGATTGGAGAAACTGATTGCCAGTTATACTCGAATTCTTTCCATGCACACTCAAACTTGATGAAAAGCACCTACATTGCAGGAAGAGTATGTAGCAGGCGATGAAATTGGAAGCTGGATGTGAACATGGTTATCACTTGTATGTATACACCAGTGGTTACGGTTGAAGAATTGGTGTCCCATTTGCAAGGCTTCAGCTGCACCATCCCAGTCTTCGTTGTCGTCCTAAGCTCAACTGCCAAGCTATCAAGGACACTAAATAACATACCCATGTACAAATTACAGAGTCTGGTCATGCTTTTGCACCGCCTTCCTTTTCTCATTGTAAATAGTTTCTTAGCTACATTCAGTTTAGTAAGAAATAACTGATTTCTAAGTGGAAATTTAGATGGCAGGGTAAAGAATAGGATAGGAGAGTTAAGATGTTGGTGCTCCTTGGAAAATGTTTACATCTAAAATAATGTAACATTTGTATCTTTCTAAAACTCGTAAAGTAAAACGTGATTTCTGTTCCACTGAACAAATTTTACACGTTCGAAAGTTTGCAAGGCATGTAAGATGTTACCGGTTGACTGTATATTTCACTTGTATTGATAAAACAAATTGGTAACAAGATTATAAGCATCTCGAAAACTAAAAGTCTTCTACATAAAAAGAAATAAATAATTTACACTTCAATCCTTTGTCTAGTTGAAAGAATTTTGAACGAAATGGAGTTCAAGTATTTGTTCACTTCATCTATTTATTTTTTATGATTCACATGCTGTTAAATAATTTCTTTTAGATCGTTTAGAAATCTTTTTACCATTCTTTTTTATTTTGACCGAACCCGGTTGGTACGAATGCTTAAATTCTTTTGCAATATATAACCAAAATTTGGTTGGCAGTACAATACTAATCATAACAACAGCCCTGTCATCTAGTTGCCAAATACTTAGGCCCCAGAATAAGGAACTGCTGATGTTAGTTTGCTTCATCCTTTCTATTCTTCCCGCGTTTAATGTGGTTTCCATCTAGGATTTGTTTGTAAAGGCCCTCTATGTTTCCATGCAAAGAAACCTTTAATGAAGTGAAAAAAATATTACCAAGACAACCAAAACCAACAACTTATGATGGATAGTTCAACCAATAATTGAGCAACCCCACCTATAAGAGTTCAAGATAAATCTTCAGTACTTCAGCTCAAACACAGAAAGCTACTCATTTGCTGTTGAAGTACGACAAATTTTTCACTGCAATTGACCCATTTCTATGAGATTTCCTTATCCGTCCAAAATAAATAAAAAAAACAAGTCTACGCCTAAAATCACTAGCCACCCAAAAGGCCAAAACAAACAAGACTGCCTGGACCAACTCAAAATCTCCAAGCATTTGAGTTGGAGCTGATAAACATAGAATTTAACTAAAATCAGTACAATCAATGCATTCAAAGATCGACACGGTCACAATAGCCAACCTTCTCGTGGTTTTGCCTAAACAAGCCCTTTTTACGAAGCTTCCCCTACTTGTCCAACGAGGGGGGATTTTTTTTTTTTTGGGGGGTTTTTGGTTGGAAGACGTGGGTGTTGGGGGGGTAGGGGGAGGATAAAACAACATTTCTACACGACAAAAAGGACTGCCAGCACCAGCTGAAAATCCAAAACTTGCATTGGAGCTGATAAATAACCAATGTGGATACACAATTTGAAAACTCAATATCTCATACCTAACCTGAGCTGGAGATCTAATAAGACCTAAGCTCACAGATCCTCACAGGAAGCTACACTTTTAACTTGTTCTTAACCTGAAACTAAAACCTATTTACCCAGTAGGACAACATTTCTCTCACAAGAAAATCTTCTGCGACTAGTATCCATTTCCGGCTGGTATTCAAAAGATAAACAAAGCAGAGAGAAAAATGAATTAGCTCAATGCAGGCAAAAAAGATAAATATCTGTATAAGTTAATGAAGACCTATAGCTAAATCAAGCATTATTGCAGAATAAAAAATAAGCGGGAATCACCTTGTGAACCCACTCATATTCTCCACCCTTTGAATCAAATGTTCCATGTTGCAGACTGATTAACGGAGATGAAAAAAACTCTTGAAGAAATCACAAAGAAGCAAAAATGGCACAATAATGATGAATTTTTAGAAGCATATCCTTAATGCAATAAATGATAGACTTAGATGTCTACCCACACATACCTATAAAGGAACTTTTTGACAAAAAAAAAAGAACTACAAAGGAACTTTATGAGAGATTCGAATTGAAATACATGCTAGAAGATGCTATAGTAAGAAGCTCCTTATTTCTTTTTTCAATAATTATAAAATAGTAGATTCAAGCCTATTATGAAACAATTTTCAAAAATTTGAGATAACTTTTGAACTATTTCACTCAACATAATATGCATATGGATGAAACCATTTTTTGTAAGCTCCATAATAGACAAACTGTGTCCAACATGGAAAGATTTCAAGAGAATTTTGAAGCATAATAAATAAGAAATCTCTCTTGAAAGTCTTGCCAAGTCCTTTTGTTAGGAAATTGGCTTAAATTCTTTTAGGTAGATTTCTTATCTTGTGTGGAAGTACTAGTTTCCTAATTAGTTTTAGTTACTTGAAGTAGTAGCCAAGAAATTCACCATCACCAAAACCAATAAAATCCCTGAAATGTATCGTAATCTACCTGTTCCGTAATACATGCCATGGCTTCAATCACAATAGCCACAACATCAGAACGACGAATGGCACGGAATGCTCGATTAACTGATAAAGCCTCTGTGGTGCTGCCCGATGAAGCTACAGCTACCCTTCTCCTTATACCAGACGTGTCAATCAGCCGAAATTTCTAGAGAAAATGGGAAACTATAAATCTCCTCCACTGACAAGAAAAACACAAGAAAGAACAGTACAATAATCTACTTTCTCAAGGACTTCTAACGCGGCAAAATTTTGAAGTAATTAGATCATTTGGGAAAATTTGAAGTGCAACTGTAAGCTCCAAAAATAAAGTACTGAAGATAATATTGAGGGAAAAAATAAGACCAATTTCCTTCACAAATTTGAATTATGTTGACTAACAACACTAAAAGTTCTAAGGGAGATGGTGCTCACTGAAGCAAGTAGAGCCTGAATTTCACAAAGTGGTTGAAAATCTAATGCCAGAGAGAAAAGCAAGCTAACTATCAACCATCAGCAAACCATGACAAATATTGAACTTGGCATTTGTCTTGCAAGGAAGGCATTTATTTTTCTTTGCAATCTTCATAAAAGAACTTCTGCTTTCATGAACAAAGACGAGGAAGACAATAAATAATTGCCTCAATGTGAGGAAAGAAGATTCCCAAATTTCAACTTTTTCTTTTTCTGTTTCTACTAAATGTAATTGATGATTGATTCAGGATCAGACATGCTCCAGATGGCAAACATAGGCCATCAAAGCAATTCCATCCAATGACAGATGGAAATAGAAAGAAAACTATTTTGGATTCAAAACTTGTACTCATTACCAATATAGGAATAATTAGGGGCAAGCAGTGCATATAAAAGACAGACAGGAAAGCTATCGTAATCCATGTAACTGACTATTTTGTGCATGTATAGAGAAAAAAAAATCTGAAATTATCTTGGAATAGAAGATCTCTCAAATATCTACCCTGAAAGAAACAAGTATCCATCATACTGTTTAAGCTTTGTACTAGCACATTTGTCATCTGAAAATCAATTTAGCTAATCCTACATTGCAATATGTCAAGCTGACAAACCTGGCCATCAGGTCCAGTGAACTCCGTATCAATAGCATCACGTGTTGTTCCACTTACTGGGCTAACAATTGCTCTGTCCTCTCTGACTAAGGCATTCAAAATACTACTTTTACCAACATTTGGTCGGCCAACAATTGCAATGGCAGGAACGAAATCTTCTTTCCCTTCAACATCATCATAGTCCTGTAAAGTGACATCACAAGATCAACCAACTATTCCAATTATTTTTCATATATTTAGTGAAAAAAAGATATTAAACATTGTTCAGCCATCCATGACAGAACTTTAGATTGTTCTCAGATCTAAGGCACTACTATAGCTCAAGTCCAAAAATAGCTACTTGTTCAATTTAAAGAGCACTGGATTTTATACTTCCACACTTCAAAAATTGAAGCCAAGTTTCTCCAATTAGAGGAGAATGATGCAGAATCTGAAGACTTTATTTGAAGTTTTACTGAAACTAAACTCTTTAATTCTCACACCTAAAGCACTACCAAACTCCAGCTCAAAAGAAGCTGCTTGCTCAATTTTAGCTATTTCAAGTTACACTAGCTTTTGAGTTACTTGTATGACTCATCCACTTCCAGCTCTTTTTTGTTGTTATGTCCTAAGGACTCAGGTCAAATGCTTAGGATTTAGGCTCATTTGTTTAAATACCCAAGCTGATGCACTAAGCAGATTTCTTCCTCGTGAACTAAAATCAACCAGTGGCCATAATGTCGATCTCCATTACAAATGGCGATGTCACTTATTGTCAAAGAAAACTTTTAGCAGAAATAAAAATTTACATTTCAGATTATGCACAACACCACGAAGGCGCAATTCCTTGCCGTGACTCCTAGTAGTCCCTAGACGTAATTGCCAGATTCCCTTTTATTCAGTTTCCATTTATTTAAAATTAGATTCAGTCTTTAAATCCGAGAAGTCCAGCTGGCAAAGACAATAAATAGCAACCCATGCAATGACAGAACTGTCACTACAGAACCCTACTTTTCAAAAGCTTTACTTGATAACTTCCCATGTCAATTAAAGAAAAAAAATATTTTCCACCCAAACAATACACAGAACTGCTTTCAGTTGAAAATATCTGAAAACAGCAGTCCTTTGTCCGCTCTAAACAAAAAAACCTTCAACAAAAAATTCTCTAGATAAAATTCTTCATTGTTCATTATAATTTGACTCAATTTATATCTATTATTCAATCCATTTTACACCAGTCCCACACAAACAAATCAACTTGCAAAATATCATAATTTACCATAAAAAAATGAGAATCAAAGTCAAAGTAACCAATTTTTTCTCTATAAAATCAACTGACGAAAAAAGCCACCAAGCTTTCCAAGAAAAAGAGGACGGATAAACTAAGCCCATCTCAAGGTAATAAAATAACATTTGTGCAACATGTGATTAACTCACACCATTTGCAACATATTTGATTCTTAACAATGAAACAAACATATAATGAGAAAAAAACAATTATGGCATCATATGCAATACAAAGCACGTTAGCCAATGAAAGAGACAGTGCAACAACATTCTGATACTACTAAAAGCGTACCTCAATTTTCTCTAATCCTGAGCAAATAAAATCAAGAAGTTCTCCAGTCCCAGTACCTGATATAGCAGATATAGGAAGTGGCGAAAACCTAGTAAATCAACCAGATCAGTGCTATCATCCATGCAAAACAGATTAAATGAATAATAAATCAAACCATACACCATATTCAAGTCCTTAACAACAGATGCTAACACAGAAGTAGCAGAAAAAGGATATATACAAGGCAACAAAAGTTAAAAAAAAACCTCCGTTGAACTGGAAATAGCAGATAACAAATATAGATTTCTGTGCAAACATCAGATATCAAGAAGCAAAACCATAACAGAGCTTGCTAACTCTTTTGCTTATCCAGGAATTTGGACTCTATATGACAAGGCTAGTTCCCCCCAACCCCTCCCCCCTCCAAAAAAAAAAAAAAAGAAACCAATAAGAAAACACCTACACTATTTCTATGCTCTCCTACTCTAACGAGAAGGGGCTAGAGGGTGAGAATACATCTAGACCAGAAGGGTTCATTAGTGCACCTCCTCAGGAATTTTTAATTGGAAGAGTGGGATCTTGGACACCGGGCGTACAGCCAAGGGAGGGCTTTTAAATCCCTTCTGGTAGAAAACTTAACAAAGGCAAATTGGTTAGGGATGGTATCAATGGATTGGCATTTTTGTTTCGTATCAAGCAACTGAAACACAGACATGATGACATCCAATGTGAAGAAAAAGCCCTTTACACGACTATAACTTTTGTTTCTCAAATCTTTTTCAATTGCCAAAATATTTCAGAACTGAAGTATACCAAGTACGCAGACATAAAGCAGACAATTTTTTCAGAACCACTGGAGTTCAAAAATGAGAAAAGGAGTTTATATGACTCATCTAAGAACTTGTTGCATTCAAAAAGCAAAATGGATTATGTGATGGTCAAAATTTGCCCCTGGAAAATTGAAACAGTTACTTGCATTTGCTCTGAATTCATTTTTAGTTGCAATGATAAAAGGCTCCATTTTTGGGGAGATATGTTGCCACTCTTCACACAAAACTTTTAGAGAAAACTGAAAATAAACTAGCCTTTTTTACCATTTCCTACACATTAAATCAGAATAAAACTGACTCCATAAAAGTAAAACTAGGCATATGTGCTTCAATTCCGCAAACTCTAAGCAAGGAAGGTGACACTCACCCTAAAGACCAAAACTCTGATGCTTGCATGCTACCTTTTCTTGGAGATTCACACTTGTTCACTGCAAGAATAATATGCTTGTGCGAGAACTTCTTTCGTAACCAATCCCCTATTTCAACATCAGCAGCAGTGAGACCTGCCTGTTGAGAGTTTATTACTTTGTCTGCCCACAAACAAACAAGGGTTGCTTGCTTAACAATATAAACCAACTATTGTCCTCCAGACCACCATTCAGAAATAGTTTCAGCAAGCATGTTGTTCAAATCCGCTTCATTTATAAATACAATTTCTCTGACAGAAAGAAGCACAAAAGAAGAAAAGCAAATTACCTACTATATCAATTATAAAAACCAGAATTTTGGACTATACCTGGCCATCAACAAGAAATATGATGACAGATGATTCCTCCACAGCAAAAGTGGCTTGTTTCTCAATCATTGATGGCATCCTGGCAACAGCAGCCTCCCTAGAGGCTAGTGGTATGCCTTCCATACCAATGGTCGTTGAGATAGCCAATTCTTCCATAACATCATCGTGCGACTTGGAAATGGTAACCACACCTCCTGTATCTATGACCAAAAATTCATAATCTCCCCAAAAGGATCTACCATACAAACGATCCCTAGTAACCGCGGGTTCATCCACCACAATGGCCTTGTTTCCCTGAAGAAAATACTAATTAACCACATACAAAGCAATTTTTAAAATGAGAAGAAAGAACTGCTCAAACTCCATATGCCGAAGCATTCACAGTCAAGTAATAGCAGCTTTAAATTCTGTTTCCAGTGAACCAGTAGACTTAGCAATATGATACAAGGATGATGGTATACCCCAACAAGACGGTTAAACAAAGCTGATTTACCAACATTTGGCCTTCCAACAATCGTAACCCTGGGAAGCAGATGATCAGGGATCTGCAGATGCAATTGGTTTAATTAGATCAAAAAATTGAAAGAAAAGCAATCAATGTTCAATTTCAGTCAGTAACAGCTATCAAGTAATGGAAAAGATGAAAAATAAACATAATCTTCACCAAATTTATTGGAGTCAGCAGCCCATCCCTAAATCTCAGCATTCAAATATTTCACCATAAACTGACACTAAACTATGACAAACTATGAAAAAAATTCACAATGGTCCATTGGACAGAACACAACTGTTCTCTGAACTTCTTTGCTACAATCTATTCACTTTAACTTTTAGTAATCCATTTACGATGCCACTGCTCACCTTAATATGTTTCGTTCTTTTATCCGGGTTAAGATTTCTTTACACTGATAGAAAATGATCAGAAGATTTCCAGCCTATAAAGCTACACTACTGACTGCAAAATATTGTAAGCTACACATGCCAAACAACACTGCTTCTCTACAACTTCAAAATTATACAAGTATCAAATTGTTCCAAAATCAACTTGTGCAACCCTAAATCAGTATATATGCTCAATCTATCTTTTTATAAAAAATATTAGCAATTCTCTTCCCAATAATCCTGTGATTTAGAAGCCATCAAAATCACTAGAAGTCCAATCTACTACTAAAATTGAAACAGAATTTTATGAGAAGAAAAGACAATTCCTGATCTGAGGGCCATCAGTTGACCACAAGAAAACTACTGAACGGAATATTATGGTGAACTAGATTTTTTCTCTTGGATTTACTTTTTGAAAAATCAGTACTTGAAACCTCCCTTATATTGTGCAAACTTTTACATGTTTTCAATCTGAAACTTCAACCCAGTAAAAGGGGGGTTAAAAAAAAGGAAGAACTTGAGAAAAAGGTTTAAAGAAGACATCAAGAACAACATAAACAATGGATACTAGCCTCACATAAAGATGGTAAACACTAACATTTTTAGCACTGCTTTTATGCTTTCTCCTCTTTATGCTAGTTTCCTTTTGATCAGCAGGATCATCATCTGAAATAAACAAAGTCAAAGGTATGTCAACAAATGAGACCAAAATAGGTCCCCAAAGACAAAAGAAAGACGTAAAGCATCAGTATATCCTGGATGACGATTTCAGCGAAAGCATCTATCAATGTGATTAGATGAATGAGAAAAATTACAGATGACCAGCTTCAAGGCTTCAAAAGATACATAACTTTAACCAGGAAGGCTTCAAGTTTTATTCAATCTGAATCTATTACATCTGCAAAGTGTCTAGCTTCAGCATGGTCTCAGAACCATTACTAATTGTTAAATCCGGCCTAGGGTGCATTTGATAAAACTGAAGTTTGAAAACTGAAGTCTGAAATCTGAAGTCTGAATCCATTAAGTTATTGAATTGTTAAGTATTAAATCTAATACATTTCAATGCATATCACATTAAGTGACAAGTAAATAGCTTATCACTTAATTTTGGGAGAAAGTTTTGCCTAGAAAATTTAGTGCCACTTAATTAATTCAAATGTTCAATTTTTGGTTTTCAAATGTTCAATTTTTGGTTATCAAATGGTCTGAATATGTTAAGATCTGATTCCATTAAGTTTAAGTGTTGAATTCGGTTATCAAACAAGACCTTAGAATCATTTCTGTTTGTAACTAGTCCTATTTTCTATATCAGAGCCGTATTTCCTCATTTCAGTCCTAAAGAGCAAGAAACAATTAGGTAAAATTGAATTTTATCGCTCTCTAGTCAGCTTCAATGAAACACGTTCTTAAAAAAAGGTAGTAACTGTTTTCTCCAATATAGTTCTTGGAGAAACTGATAAGAAAATGAGAAACAGCAGGGAAGTATTCTTTTCTCCATCCACTGTCTCCCTTCCATTGAAGTGGAAAGTCAGGATACTTTCCTATAGCCAAAGTTAAGGAGTCAAAGAGAACCATCAGTAGTGCAACCCTATTCCATAGTAAAAATTTATCCTTTAAACTCTACTTTTGAAAGAAACAACTGCAGAACAGCAGGAAAAAATGCAGACAACAACCATGTACTTTCTCCATCCAACCTTTAAACTGAACCATAGTAGCCCTAAAGAATCAATACATGTAATATAAGGTTGAGATTTTGCAAATAATTGAGCACAGATTTCACCCGAGCCGACCAGATACGTTTCCCTACCCAATGCTTTGTTTTAATTTTTTTTGGCATTCAGAACTAGAGGAAGATGAAAAGCAAAACGGAAACAACACCACTTGAACCATCTATTTAACTCAAACTAGATTAAAACCAAAAATATTGCCTAAATGAACATAAAGCTAACAAACAATAATAGGGATTAGAAAAGGGGAAGAAACGAGGAGGGAGAGGGGGTGTGAGGGAATGAGAGAGCAGAATATAAGAGATGAAAATCCTAAGTGAAGAATGAGAAAGCAGAACATAAGAGATGAAAATCCTAAGTAAATGCAGAAACTAATCAGGTCTTCCATTTGGTTAACCACTTTGCCACATAAAAGGACTTAAACTGCATCAAGTAAAAGCTAGTTAATTATTTATAGAAAATTCACAAACTATACTCTTTGTGTGAAAAACTAAAAATAAACCATAAAACCAACCTGCGAAATCCTATAACAGAATAAAAAATTTCCCACTTCTATTTCAACTCTTCTTGCTCTGCGTAAGATACAGAATATTTGAAACAATTTTCTGTAGAACTGATGTTTCATTTTTATTTATTTTATTATCTAAATAATAATAATAACAACAACAACAAATTTTACCTTTTATCCAAGATGTAGTAAATCCCTTGAAATTTGTCAATTACATAATGCTACTCTTACATTTAACATATTGAATTCCAAACCAAAAAGAAAGGCAGGCTTTTATCCAGCAGCATTCACGTCGTATTAAGGCTCATTTAATCCCCAAACAGAGCTCATTGTCTTCTTTTGCGCTTTATTAGAAACTAAAATTAGTAACTTCGAAAATGCATTATCCTTCAATCTAAACACAAATTTTGGTGCACTTCATCACTATTTTTTTTCTTTTCCCGCCTCTTCTCTCATCCAAACCAAAAACAAAAACAAGAAGAATAAAACCAACAATGAAGGAAAAAAAAAAGTCCAAAGAAAAAAAAAACCTATGGTCAATTGACGAGACAAAGCGTGGGAGAATTCTTTAACAGCGAATTTGGCTTCGTGTTCCATTGATTCAACATTGAAGCTCTCGTCGTCAACGTCAGACTCATCCGACAACTTATCATCCTCCTCGTCGAAATCTTTGGGGCCGGAGACCTGTGAGTCCCTGCAGAAAAGGTTCGGGCGGTTGCCGGTGCGGCAAAAAGGCAGGTGGTGGAGGTGATGGTGGCTGGAGATGGCGGTGGGGAGAGGAAACGAAAAGGGAGAGGGGAGAAAGACAGAAGTAGTCGGAGATGAAGAATTCGATGAAAATGGCGGGCATGGAGAAAGGGGTTTCGCTTTAGAAAGAGAAATTGAAGCGCAGAGCTCTGAATATGACATGATTATGGTGAGATTGAGAGAGAGGCAATTTGGCATGGACGAGCTTGTGGATTTATCATTTCGCGGGAGAAATCACCGATCTAGTCCCTGAACTTTTACACTTAATCCAATTTAATCCTTTAACTTTATTTTAGCAGAGGAAATGGCCAAATTTGTCCCTATACTTTTTTACTAGTGCTGATTTGATTTCTAACTTTTATTTCTGGCCAATTTGCTATGTAAACTTATGTTGCGGTTCCAATTAAGAACCTCTGCGGTGTCGCCACCACACAAAACTGATTTAGTTCCCAATAGACTAAATAAATAAGGGTATTTTGATAATTTTGAGTTATCTTCTTCCTCTACCACCAAACTCCATTGGCCGCCACCCACCTCCCACTTCTACCATTTTGCTATGGGACATGAGAAGCAAAGTGCAGTAGTTGTAAAATTTTCTTTTGAAGGACAATTGTCCTAGGAAATGATACATTTTGATGACATTCAGGAAACCCAACGACGACAAAGATAATTGGGAGTATACTATGGATAAGAAATCCCAAAGCATTGAGATTGAGAAAAAGTTTAACGAACTGAATAGAAAAGCGAGAGACTTATAATGGAACTTGTGTCTCTCAAAATGCTTTTATTCAATCACCTTTTTAATCATTTGAATGCAAGATCTGGCTTTTGGAATAGAATGCAAAGGCAAAGGCAGCTAGTGATAGGGTGTTAATTGTTAGTAATTTTATTGTTAATTTTCCTCTTTATCCTTGCCAAATATTGTTTTAATTGTCAATATATATTTATATTTGGTATTTGGATATAATTTCAGAAAGTGGAGCAGAAAAGTGCTAAAAGGGGACCTTCTTGAGAAGATTTCTCTACGCGTGAAAGCTTCTAAAAGCTTTCCACCATCAGCCCAAATTGTGCAAACCAACGGAATTGCTGATGAAGAATTGAATTGATATGATGAAATCCACTAGCAATAAGAAATCAAAGCGGGGACCACGTAGAAAGTTTGTTCTTATTGTGGGAGATATACTCATTAGCCATAGGTGGACTTTGATGATGAAAGTAGCTTTTCTATTTGCTTCCTACGTAACTAGTTCTCTTATAAAACTAGTGGAGAGGAGAATGAGAAGATAGCTGGAGAAGCTATTAGACTAGTTTTGGAGTTTTCTCTCAAAATAAGCTCCGTAGGAGGATAGAGGAGTTTTTAGTTTTCTCTCCAAGGGATGTTCCAGAGGAGAGAATAGGGAGTTGTTTTGGTTTGTTGAATTCTAGTGTGCAATTTTCTTATTCTCTTCCGAGAGCTTTGTTATTCACTCTCTCAATTATCGAAGAAAGATGATGTCTTTAAATTCAATTGAATTGTGTGAAGATTTTCTTATGAGGCGTGGCTAATTTTCTCATCTAGTCAAGGATCAACGCGAAGACGCAGTCCCAAATATCTGTGAGATCTAATTAATTTTACGTGTTCCTTAATTTGTTAATATTTGCATGTTTTCTATTTTAATTTCCATGGGATTATTTTGTTAATTGGATATCAAGGGCCCGATGTGCAATTTGACTTATTAATCTCTTGTCAAATTAATCAATTAAATCCGTAATTGTTTAGTTGGTTAATATTAGTGACAACTAGTATTTTCACATACTAGGGGGACATGCAATCTGATTTAAATAACCCTCGTAGCGTGTTATTAATTTGGGTTAGGCTTTTCTAGTTTTTAATGCAATTAGGAAATTAATTCCTACGGTCGTACCTAGGAGTATTTCCTGGTTAGGGGTAATCAACGGTCGTACCTTGGTTATTAATAAATTAAGGAAAAGCTGGTCGTTAGAGTTTATCGGGGACTATAACTAACCTGTTAATAAAATTAAGTGAACCTTTGCATCAATGATCGGATGAATGGACTGTGTCTGCGTAGTTGTATCCTTGGCTAGAATTTATTTATCATTTATTTAATTGCTATTTATAATTGTATTAATTAATTAATTATTTTTAGTTAAATTGTTTAATTATTTTTAGTTTATTTCTGATAAAAATCCCCCGTGTCCCGAACTTGAAAAGAATCGAATTTTTCCCAATCCCTGTGGATTCGACCCTACTCACTACTATACACAGAAAATTTATTTTTCTCGAGTAGGTATTTATTATTGCACAGGCTCGACTCCTGTCAATTTTTGGCGCCGTTGCCGGGGACTGGCGTTAATCATTTGTTTCTTTTTAAGTTCATTTTTTTTTCTGGTATTTTTCTAGTTTATGCCTCGCTCTTCTCGTACAGGCAAATTAATTTTCGACCCTGAAGTAGAGAAGACTGCGTGTAGAACGAGGAAAGAAACCAGGCGGCTCAGGGAGGAGCAATACGATATTGCACCTCAGGAACTTGATCCATAGGTTGAGCCGACAAATTTGTCTGGTGACAATTCAAGTGATTCAGACCAAGAGGAAGTCACTATGGCAAATGCACGAACACTAAGGGAGTTGGCTGCTCCTGATTTAAATCAGCAGCCCTTGTGCATTACTTTTCCACATTTAAATGATGACACTTCCTTTGAACTAAAATCTGGTCTAATTCATCTCTTGCCATCTTTTCATGGTCTACCAGGTGAGGAGCCCTATAAGCACTTGCAAGAGTTCGACGTCGTTTGCAACAGTATGAAACCCCCGGGAATTACAGAAGAGCAAATAAAGATGAGGGCTTTCCCCTTCTCTTTGAAGGACTCCGCAAAAGACTGGCTCTATTACCTACCGCCTGGTAGTATCACCACGTGGGACCAACTGAAGAAAAAATTCTTGGACAAGTACTTTCCGGCATCTCGAGCTGCAAGCCTAAGGAAGGAGATATGTGGCATCAAACAACACCCAGGCGAGTCACTCTATGAGTACTGGGAGAGGTTTAAGAAACTGTGCACCAAATGCCCTCAGCATCAGATAAGTGAGCAACTGCTCATTCAATATTTCTATGAGGGGTTGCTTTTCAGGGACAGAAGCATAATCGATGCTGCAAGTGGAGGGCCGTTGGTGAACAAAACCCCTCGAGGAGCATGGGAGTTGATTGAAGGGATGGCTGAGAACTCACAGCAGTTTGGTTCAAGAGAGGACATCCCGACGCGTAGGGTGAATGAGGTGGAAACGTCCTCTATCCAACAGCAGATCTCCGAATTAACATCTTTCGTAAGACAATTAGCTGTGGGGAGTGCTTCACAAGTCAAAGTGTGTGGGGTGTGCACTGCCGTGGGTCATCCTACGGAAATGTGTCCACTGGTTCAAGAAGAAACTGCAGAACAGGTGAACATGGCTGGCCACGCGCCCGCGCCAAGAAAGCAGTACGACCCGTACTCAAACACCTACAATCCTGGTTGGAGGGATCACCCCAACCTTAGCTATGGAGGAAATAGGCAGTCTAACTTTGTGCCAAATAGACAGCAAGGGCACCAACAGCAGTATCATCCTCGCCTACCACCACCACCACCCCCTTCAAACTCAAGTCCGTCCATGGAAGAGATGATGAAGCAATTACTTGCTAATCAACAAAAGACGGATTCAGACCTGCAAAGCATGAGAAATCAACTGGGACAGGTGCAATCATTGCAAAATCAAATGAATCAAATGGCTATAACAATCAACCGTTTGGAGTCCCAAGTTCAAGGAAAGTTGCCATCTCAACCTGAGGCGAATCCAAAGAATGTAAGCGCAATGACCTTAAGGAGTGGCAAGGAAGTTCAAGAACCCGAACCCGTGATTCCTAAAGATAAGGACGAGGAACGGATTGAGAAAGAATTGGAAGAGGAGGGCACAGACAACAAAAATGCAAAGGTAACCTCGAACCCAATTCCTACAACTAAAACTAATCCACCTCCCTTTCCTAGCAGGTTAGAGAAACCAAAGAAGCAAGATAAGGAAAAAGAGGTCTTGGAGATCTTTCGCAAGGTGGAGATCAACATACCCCTGCTGGATGCGATTAAACAAGTACCCAGGTACGCAAAATTTTTGAGGGACTTGTGTGCCAACCGCAAGCGGTTGAAGGGGGATGAACGAGTTATAGTTGGGGAGAATGTTTCAGCAATTCTACAAAGGAAACTTCCACCAAAATGCGGAGATCCAGGTATGTTCACTATTCCTTGTAGGATAGGTAATACTTTGATTGGAAAGGCCATGTTAGACCTAGGAGCCTCGATTAATGTCATGCCAAAGTCCATTTATACTTCATTAAACTTAGGCCCTTTGAAAGAGACTGGGATAATAATCCAATTAGCTGACAGGACCAATGCATACCCTGACGGGTTGATTGAAGATGTTTTGGTAAAAATTAATGAATTAGTTTTTCCAGCTGATTTTTATGTGCTCGACATGGAGGATGAACACTCCCGTGATCCGTCACCTTTGTTGTTAGGTAGACCCTTTTTTAGCACAGTCCGAACCAAAATTGATGTTAATAAGGGTACTTTGTCTATGGAATTTGATGGTGAGATTGTTCACTTTAACATCTTTGAGACCATGAAATATCCATCCGATTCAAATATTGGCTCTGTTTTCTCGATAAATGTTATTGACCCTGCTATACAGGAGGTTTTTGAAATTGAAGGCAGGGATGAACTAGAGGTCGTCCTGACCAGGCACTTTGAGTCCGAAACAACCTCTAGGGTAGACTTGAGTGAAGAGCTTAAATGCGTGATTGGATCGTTGCAAACGTTACCAACCACGAAAACAATGTATGATCTTGCACCGATTTTCATACCCGAACCTCATCAAAGGTTACTTCCATCTGTGGTGCAGGCACCTGTATTGGAACTAAAACCACTGCCGAAACACCTAAAGTATGTATACTTAGGTGAAGGGGAGACACTTCCAGTGATCATCTCCGCGCGTTTATCAAAGGTTCAAGAAGAGAAACTACTTCGAGTTCTTAGGGAACATAAACAGGCGATAGGATGGACCATCGCCGACATCAAGGGAATTAGCCCCGCGGTGTGTATGCACCGAATTCGACTCGAGGAGAATGCTAAACCCGTACGGCAAGCTCAACGGAGATTAAATCCTCTCATGATGGAGGTCGTAAAGAAAGAGATTTTAAAACTGCTGGACGTTGGAATTATATTTGCAATATCAGATAGCCCGTGGGTAAGTCCAGTACAGGTGGTCCCGAAGAAGGCAGGGGTGACAGTGGAATCAAACCAAGAGGGTGAGCTCGTACCAATTCGAAAGCCCACCGGATGGCGACAGTGTATCGATTACCGAAAGCTAAATGCCGTCACGAAAAAGGACCATTTCCCCCTCCCTTTCATTGACCAGATGGTGGAGCGATTAGCATGTCGAGCTTACTATTGTTTCTTGGATGGATTTTCAGGTTATTTTCAAATTGCCATCGCACTCGAGGACCAAGAGAAGACTACTTTCACCTGCCCATTTGGAGCATTTGCATACCGAAGGATGCCATTTGGGTTGTGTAATGCACCTGCTACCTTTCAAAGATGCATGGTAAGTATCTTTTCAGAATATGTTGAGAAGATTACTGAGGTTTTCATGGACGATTTTAGTGTATATGGTGAAAGTTTTGAAAACTGTCTAGATAACCTAAAATTGATCTTAGTAAGGTGTATAGAAACTAATCTCGTGCTTAATTGGGAAAAATGTCATTTTATGGTTGAACACGGGATAGTTTTGGGTCATGTTGTATCATCTACAGGTATTGAGGTTGATAAGGCAAAAATAGATGTTATATCTACTTTACCTTACCCAGCGAGTGTGCGGGAAGTTCGTTCTTTCTTGGGTCACGCAGGTTTCTATAGAAGGTTCATCAAGGATTTCTCGAAAATTGGAGCACCCTTGTTCCAACTTTTGCAAAAAGATGTATCCTTCGAATTTGAATAAACATGTAAGGGGGCATTCAATAAATTAAAGGAGTTATTGATCACCTCACCTATTATCCAACCCCCTGACTGGAACCTCCCATTCGAGATCATGTGCGACGCCAGTGACTATGCAGTTGGTGCGGTATTGGGTCAAAGAGTAGGAAAAGCAGCTCATGCTATTTACTACGCATCTCGAGTCTTGAACGGAGCTCAATTGAACTATTCAACCACCGAAAAGGAGCTTTTAGCAGTTGTTTTTGCCTTAGAAAAATTTTGGTCTTATTTACTTGGTGCTAAAGTTATTATTTTTTCTGATCATGCAGCTTTGCGGTATCTGTTGACCAAAAAAGAGGCAAAACCGCGATTGATACGGTGGATATTGTTGCTACAGGAGTTCAACCTGGAGATCCGAGATAAGAAAGGGGCGGAGAATCTGGTAGCAGATCACTTGAGTCGAGTACAAGTCGTCGAAGATGACATCCCATTGAGAGAAGCATTCCCCGAGGAGCATTTATTTTCTATTAACTCATCTTTGCCTTGGTATGCAGATATTGTTAATTTTCTAGTCACTGACAAATTTCCTACAGGATGGCCTAAGGCAAAGAGAGACAAGTTGAGGAGCGATGCAAAGTTCTACATTTGGGATGATCCTTACCTCTGGAAGCGGGGTGCTGATCAAATCATCCGTAGATGTGTAAGTGAAGTTGAATTTCAATCTATTCTAGCCTATTGTCACTCTTTTGCATGTGGAGGTCACTTTGGACCAAAGAGAACGGCTCGTAAGGTGCTAGAGAGTGGATTCTATTGGCCAACTCTATTCAAGGATGCCTACTCATTTTGTAAGTCATGTGATAAGTGTCAAAGAGTGGGTAATATCTCTCGTAGGGATCAAATGACTCAAACCCCAATGATTTTTGTTGAAATTTTTGACGTTTGGGGCATTGATTTTATGGGTCCTTTTCCTTCGTCCTTTGGTTTTTTGTATATATTGCTTGCTGTAGATTATGTTTCGAAGTGGGTAGAAGCAAAGGCTACCCGCACTAATGATTCCAAAGTGGTTGCAGAATTCGTTAAGTCTAATATTTTTGTTCGCTTTGGGATGCCGCGAGCAATTGTAAGTGATCGGGGTACTCATTTCTGCAACAAAACGATCGCTGCAATTTTTAGGAGATATGGTGTCTTGCACAAAATCTCTACATCCTACCATCCTCAAACAAATGGTCAGGCGGAAGCATCGAACCGAGAGATCAAATCAATTCTAGAAAAGATGGTCCGACCCGATAGGAAGGATTGGAGTGTGAGACTAGATGATGCACTATGGGCATATAGGACGGCATATAAAACACCCATTGGCATGTCCCCTTACCGATTGGTATTTGGAAAGCCATGTCATCTCCCGGTCGAGTTTGAGCATAGAGCATTTTGGGCGGTCAAACAATGCAACATGGATATCGAGGAAGGCGGAATTCAAAGAAAGTTACAATTACTAGAGTTGGAAGAAATCCGAAATGAAGCATACGAGAATGCAGTGATCTATAAGGAGAAGAATCGGATCTTTCATGACCAACAGATCTCTAGGAAGACATTCGTCTGCGGGCAAAAAGTTTTACTATACCACTCCAAATTGAAACTATTTCCAGGTAAATTACGTTCTCGTTGGATTGGCCCTTTTGTTGTGACTAATGTCTTTCATTATGGTGCAGTAGAGATCCAAAGTTTGAAGACGGAGAAGAAATTTGTGGTGAATGGTCACCGTCTCAAGCCGTATTATGAAGGATTTCCAATTGAACAGGTGGAGATGATGCAACTGGAAGACCTGATTTGCTTAGTTTAAGCAAATTCTGGACTCCGTCTAGCCAAAGACGTTAAAGAAAGGCGCTTTTGGGAGGCAACCCAATTTTTAGTTTTGTTAGTTTTTGTTGTTCAATTCGTTAAATATGTGTCTAAAAAAAAAAAAGTGTTTTAACAATTAACATTTTCGAAATCTGAATTCGAAAAAAAAAAAAAAATATTTTTTCTTTCCTTTTTATTTTTCTCCTTTCTTTCTCTTTACTTCTTTTCTTTTTCTTTATTCTCCTCTTCTTTCTTTCTTTCTTTCTTTCTTGCCAAGCCGCTGTCCCTTTCTTTTTCTTTCTTCTTCGGCTACGAACCTCACCCCACCGCCGCCCATCCCAACTCTTCTCGCCGCTACCTCGGCTCTCCTCGCCAAGGGTGACCACCAGCTCATCTGACCTCCTTCACCCTTGCCATAGCCACCGTCTCCAAGATCCGCCTGAAGCCCCGAAAGCCGCGCACCACCAGATCCAGTTGCCGCAAACTCTTCTCTCTCACAGCCACCACCTTCATCGCACCACTGGCTTCGTATGGACGCGCCTGCCTCAATCTCTTTCTATTATTTTTTTTTATTTTCTTATTTTATTATTGCAATATGTTTTTATTATTTTTATTACAGTACGTTTTTGAAAATTTTGCGTGTTTGGACTACCTAACATTTGTATTCCTCCTTAGTTGGGTACTTCTGTGTTACTTTGCTTGTTTCTTTTTACTTTGCTTGATTTTTATTTATTTAGTAGATTGACTTGTGGTTAGTCGTGTGATTTACTTATTCCTTATGCGTGCACCGATGATACTAGTTTAGGGTGTTTTGCATATCTTTATTGATTTTACTTCGACACCTGTCAATATTTAGAATTGAATGTCCAATCGTTAATCATTATATATATATATATATTTTAGGTCGAATTGTGTTTAATCTGCTGTACTTTGTGTCTAACTGTGGGTAATTTGCTACAGTTGTTTGTTCAATTGGGAGGTGCCTTTAACACTTAAATTTACTTATTGAAGTAGATTGCCTTCAATTGCCTTATATGAGAGCCTTTTGTCTGTTTGCATTTCAATTACTACATTGATTGGGGTGATTTTGAGGTGCATTATTATTACATTTGGATAAGTTTGGAACCACGAGTGTTTATTGATTGCATTTGTTATAAGTGTTGAGATATCTGTATAACTTGTGAGTGAATGAAGTGTGCATTTTGTTCATTGAATTGATTTTTCATTTGTTAGTGCTTTGAATTTCTTGTTTCCATTATTCGTTAGCAACTGTTGTCTATTGTGGTTTGGAGTGCAATTTGGAAAGAATGGTGAAACCACGATCCCGACCCTTTGACCTCCGCTCCGCCTCCTCCAACTACAGGTGCTAATAGCTGGCACCAGCTTCAGGGGAGTTTCGTTGTCGTTCTTCTTATTTTTACTGTTTCATTATCACATTGAGGGCAATGTGTGATTTAAGTGTGGGGGGGATTTGGGTTTAGTTTTGATTGGTGTTTCTTTAATTTGCTGCCTTTCTTACTAGTGTTTTGATGAATAAATATGGCAATTCATTCGTTTATTGCTGGTTGTGATTTATCTTATGAATTTTGTTTAAGTGGCAAGTAAAAGTATGTTATCTTGGTGAATACCATGAGTTTTATGACTTGGTGCAATTTGTGGTTAACTTGTTTAAGCAATATAAATATTTTACTAGCAATTGTTGTGTGGATTGGGCAATTGTTGATCTCAGTTCTCCATGTTAGGAGATGACGTGGGCCATGATCTTTAATTATCTGGTTTTCTGGTGCTTTAATTGTGATTAATAAATGACCCTACTCCGCTAGTGTTGTCACCCAGTAACCGGGAGTATTCACCACAAGTGTCGACTTTCGCGTCAAAAAGTGACTATATATATGAGTAGTTAGTCCTGAAGTTGTGAAGAGTTGAGTAACTGGGCTCTTTCATCTAAAAATGTCAGAGTTCACGTCAAAAGACTTGAATAGCTTGGGACTGAGCATTTATTGAAAAAAAAAATTTAATTATAAAAAAAAAAAAGAAGAAAAGAAAATAATAAGTAAGCTTATGATCATGTTGGCCTGCCGATCCTTGTTCTTCAATGTTGAGATTTTGATTTTCAGTTGACCCAATTGCTAACTTTTGCTAGTTTAATATTTTGATTTCTTAGACGAGTTAGCTATGAATTGGACGAGTCTATGATTTCAGGAGCTAACCGGGAGAAATATGTCTTGACACTTAGCCACTAAAACTTGATTTTGGGATAAGCGTAGCTTGGCATTAAATGAAATGAGAGTTAGCCATTGTTGAGTTTAGTGTTCCCATGCTTGAGGACAATCATGATTTAAGTGTGGGGGGAATTGATAGGGTGTTAATTGTTAGTAATTTTATTGTTAATTTTCCTCTTTATCCTTGCCAAATATTGTTTTAATTGTCAATATATATTTATATTTGGTATTTGGATATAATTTCAGAAAGTGGAGCAGAAAAGTGCTAAAAGGGGACCTTCTTGAGAAGATTTCTCTATGCGTGAAAGCTTCTAAAAGCTTTCCACCATCAGCCCAAATTGTGCAAACCAACGGAATTGCTGATGAATAATTGAATTGATATGATGAAATCCACTAGCAATAAGAAATCAAAGCGGGGACCACGTAGAAAGTTTGTTCTTATTGTGGGAGATATACTCATTAGCCATAGGTGGACTTTGATGATGAAAGTAGCTTTTCTATTTGCTTCCTACGTAACTAGTTCTCTTATAAAACTAGTGGAGAGGAGAATTAGAAGATAGCTGGAGAAGCTATTAGACTAGTTTTGGAGTTTTCTCTCAAAATAAGCTCCGTAGGAGGATAGAGGAGTTTTTAGTTTTCTCTCCGAGGGATGTTCCAGAGGAGAGAATAGGGAGTTGTTTTGGTTTGTTGAATTCTAGTGTGCAATTTTCTTATTCTCTTCCGAGAGCTTTGTTATTCACTCTCTCAATTATCGAAGAAAGATGATGTCTTTAAATTCAATTGAATTGTGTGAAGATTTTCTTATGAGGCGTGGCTAATTTTCTCATCTAGTCAAGGATCAACGTGAAGACGCAGTCCCAAATATCTGTGAGATCTAATTAATTTTACGTGTTCCTTAATTTGTTAATATTTGCATGTTTTCTATTTTAATTTCCATGGGATTATTTTGTTAATTGGATATCAAGGGCCCGATGTGCAATTTGACTTATTAATCTCTTGTCAAATTAATCAATTAAATCCGTAATTGTTTAGTTGGTTAATATTAGTGACAACTAGTATTTTCACATACTAGGGGGACATGCAATCTGATTTAAATAACCCTCGTAGCGTGTTATTAATTTGGGTTAGGCTTTTCTAGTTTTTAATGCAATTAGGAAATTAATTCCTACGGTCGTACCTAGGAGTATTTCCTGGTTAGGGGTAATCAACGGTCGTACCTTGGTTATTAATAAATTAAGGAAAAGCTGGTCGTTAGAGTTTATCGGGGACTATAACTAACCTGTTAATAAAATTAAGTGAACCTTTGCATCAATGATCGGATGAATGGACTGTGTCTGCGTAGTTGTATCCTTGGCTAGAATTTATTTATCATTTATTTAATTGCTATTTATAATTGTATTAATTAATTAATTATTTTTAGTTAAATTGTTTAATTATTTTTAGTTTATTTCTGATAAAAATCCCCCGTGTCCCGAACTTGAAAAGAATCGAATTTTTCCCAGTCCCTGTGGATTCGACCCTACTCACTACTATACACAGAAAATTCATTTTTCTCGAGTAGGTATTTATTATTGCACAGGCTCGACTCCTGTCAGCTAGACCTCCATCTATTAATTGTGCAATAGCCATCTATAATTTTTGCAGATGATATGGTTGTACTATGTATGTTCTTGTTTTCATGATCGAGTCTAACCCCATCTTTTCAAAGATTTGATTTTGGTTTCTATTTTACCTTAGTTCTTGAAAGTATTTTGCAATATTTAAGAAAAAGGTTTCTTAAATTTCTGCATATGCGAGAAAAATTACATGGTTATGGAATTTAAGAAACTTCCTTTTCTTACTGGGTCTCTGATCTTTTACTTCCCAAAAGCTCACTTCTCTGACTAGTTTTAATCCTTTTTGTATCAACTGTGCAATTGTACCAAGTCTTTTTGATATGTGTCCAACTGACCTGCCACATTTGAGCTTTCCTCCTTTCCTTAAATATGGGAATTTTGGCTTTTTATCTTCTAGACTTTTCTTTAATAATAAGAGATTAAGAGATGCAACATTAGCAAGGGGATTGGAGGAAAGTAGTAGATAAAGAGGAAAGGGGATAAGAGAGGGTGATGACCGTGGAAAGGAGGGGAATGGTGAGGGTGGCAGGGAAGGGGAAAGAAATTAAGATAAAAATTTTAAAAGCACCTTAAAAAAGTTTTAAATATTAAAAAACCACAAAAACTAATGATTTTTTTCTGATTTACTTGGTTTTAGTAGCATCCATACTTGAAGGTCCCAAAATACCCCTATTTAGATATTAAATTAGAAGTTCAAGTGCTTTTACGTGATGGTGCTGCCGTGGAGGTGCTTAATTGGAACCGCAATATAAGTTCACGTATCAAATTGGATAGAAATAAAAGTTAGTGACCAAATTAGCACCAGAAAAAATGTTTAGGGACGAATTTGGCTATTTTTCCATTTTAACATGATTTAGCGCATGTCAAAGCCACAAATAGCTAAAAGATTTTGCGACTAAGTACCATGTCGATTAATGTAGGTCATTTGCTGTCCCAGTAGGGGACACACTGGAATATGGGTGCCATCAATTGCTCCTATAGTATCCTACAGTACTTACAAATGATCGTTAATCTTTAAACACTTGTCAAAATACTATTTACAAGCAAGTACAACTTTTTGCTATTTGCTATAGTAGCTTGTACTCATCGTAAGCCATAGGAAGTATTTTATAGAGGTCCTAATTCGTGGATGCACTTGATCATAGTCACATGGGTGAATTATTCTTGCTGCAAACATACAAAGTCCTCTTTAGAAATT